CAGCGGTTGCTAGGATACCGCGGGCCGTTACGCCGGCGCGGACTGATGACGTATCCACGTGTTCCGGTCCCCGGCGCTTCTCTACAGCCCGAGCCAGGTCAGTGGGGAGTCGGGGCTGGCCTTCCCGGGGCTCTGCGCGCAGAGAATGGCGGTGGGCTTTCCTGAGGGGTGGGCCCTGCCAGGGGTGGGCCTGGGCCTCGCACCCCGCCGGACTACCCTCTGCCCTGCGGTGGCGCCCCGATGGCCGGGGGAGCGGGGGTCGCTTAGAGGTGGGCTGGGGTTGGAGGAAGCGGCCTTGCAGTCGCTGCGTGGCCGGAGGCTTTAAGGCATCCGACCCCAGCCTTCTTGGAGCTGGCGTCGCCAAGGCCCGTTTTCTCCACGTTCCGAGACCCGGGCGCCAGCTTTCCACATTAGTACTTCAGGAATCGTCTGGATCGTGCCTGACCCACGACCCTGCTGTTCTTTTCCTTCCAGCATGATCCGCTGGGCCCCCAGCGCATCACCTGGAAGAGCCCACTCAACTTGGACGCAGCTGTCGGCAGCCTCAGACCGCCCTTGAGGAGGATGACTGAGACACTATGGGCCACGCACTGTGTGTCTGCTCTCGGGGAACTGTCATCATTGACAATAAGCGCTACCTCTTCATCCAAAAACTGGGGGAGGGGTGAGTGTTTGGAAATCACTTAGCTAGTCCCCAAGGTTCTGGTGATTGAAGGACAGCAGTCTGCACATGATAGAGGCATAGAAGTTTTATTCTCTTAACTTATCCTCTTAGCTCACCTGAGAGAGCCTAGTGACATGGTGGTCAAGGAAGTGGATTCTGGGGCCAGGGCTCCTGGATCCACCTTGTGTGACCTTGAAAAGCCATGGTTTCTTCATCTGCTTAATGGAGATAATTGTCTTTTGTTGGTGATGGAGTTGTGAGGATTAAATGAGATATTGCGTATAAAACATCTCACCCAGGGCCTGGTTCCTAGCACTTGGTAATGTTGACTGTTACTCATGTGATATTTATGGAGCATTTGTCATGTGCAGAACAGTGCATTATGACCAGAGTACCTCAAATTATGGTTTTCCTACTCTTGAGCTCAGAATGTAAAATCTTCAGATTTCTCTTGAAGCCACATCTTGGGAGGGTTTCTGCCAACTGGGAAAGATACCCCCCTCCCCTTCTCCCCAGGGAGTTCCTCGGGGTCCAAGCAGTGTGGGAGATGACCATGGTCCTTCACTGACCCCTTTGGCCCACAGTGGGTTCAGCTATGTGGACCTAGTGGAGGGGTTACATGATGGACACTTCTACGCCCTGAAGCGGATCCTGTGTCACGAGCAGCAGGATCGGGAGGAGGCCCAACGAGAAGCAGACATGCATCGCCTCTTCCATCACCCCAACATCCTTCGCCTTGTGGCTTATTGTCTGAGGGAGCGGGGCACTAAACATGAGGCCTGGCTGCTGCTGCCCTTCTTCAAGGTCAGAAAGTCTCCTGGCAATGGAGGGGCTTGCAACAGAATCATCTACCGAGGGCTGTGTGAGTAGTCCAGCATGTTAGGAAGCAGAGACCATGTCCTGGGGTGAGCCGCTGCAGATTTGGGGTTTAGAGGAACCCAAGTGGGACCGTGAGGTGTCTAGTGTGTGAGTGTGTGTGGTCAAAGAGTTGCTAGGCTGTGGCACAGAAAAGGGATTAGGATGAGGAAGCAGAGGCTCAGAAAAGATGGCCAACTATGGGGAAATTTGTGTTGCAGAGGGGTACGCTGTGGAACGAGATAGAAAGGCTAAAGGACAAAGGCAACTTCTTGACTGAAGATCAGATCCTTCAGCTGCTGCTGGGTATCTGCAGAGGCCTTGAGGCCATTCATGCCCGAGGTTATGCCCACAGGTCAGTGGGAGGGCCCTGTGTGCTTATGGGGCAGAAAGGAAGGGCCTCACCAAAAGGAATGAGAGGTCCTGCTCTCCTCCCGAGGAACAGTACCCATGATTCTTTTGCCCCGAGGGATTCTAGCCTCCCTATCCAGGGATGCTCATGGGCCATTTCCACTTCCCTACAGGGACCTGAAGCCCACCAATATCTTGCTTGGAGATGAGGGGCAGCCAATTTTAATGGACTTGGGTTCCATGAATCAAGCTTGCATCCACGTGGAGGGCTCCCGCCAGGCTCTAGCCCTGCAGGTAAAAGAGTGTGCAGGTTCCTTTCCCCGCCTGTTCCCCATCCTCAACCTTTTCTTTTGCCTGCCCCAGTTTGATCACGTGACCATGACCTGTGCCCCTCATCTGAGTTTTGGGGCCACTGTTCCAGGACTGGGCAGCCCAGCGATGCACCATCTCCTACCGGGCCCCGGAGCTTTTCTCCGTGCAGAGCCACTGTGTCATTGACGAGCGCACTGATGTCTGGGTGAGGAGCGTGTGGCCAGACACATGGCGGGGGAGGAGTGCTGTTCTCCCTGCTGTGTGACAGAGGGGTGGGACTTTGGTTTCAAAAGCATGGGGCCCCAGGAACCATGTATGTCCCCACCCCCCTCGACTTCCTTCCTGGGAACTGTCACTGACATGGTACTCAGCTGCTCAGGAAGTGGTATAATCCTGCCCTTCGAACAGACTGAGTAGAGCTAAGTGGCAAGGCTGAAGGCAGTGGTCAGGCAAGGGGTACAGAGGCCTCCAGCGAACTGGCAGTTTCTCTGGACTCTCGTGATGTCCTGTGGCTGAGGTCAGCATATTCTTTTTAGCTTACGAAGTCACCTTTCACTACCAAATAAGAGGAGAGATAATCACCTCCGTTGGTCCCTTGCCAAGGAATAACCAAGTTATGCTCAGTCCCTAGGCTGTGTGCTATACGCCATGATGTTTGGGGAAGGCCCGTATGACATGGTGTTCCAGAAGGGTGACAGCGTGGCCCTTGCTGTGCAGAACCAACTCAGCATCCCGCAGAGCCCCAGGTGAGCAATAAAAGGGGCACCAAAACATTTCAGACTTCTCCCTGCCATTAGCAGAGTTGGAACCTTAGCACGGGGAACAGCGACCCTCCAGTCACTCTGCCCGCCTCCTTCCACAGGCATTCTTCAGCCTTGCGGCAGCTGCTGACCTCCATGATGACTGTAGATCCCCAGCAGCGCCCGCCTGTTTCTCTCCTTCTCAGTCAGTTGGAGGCACTGCAACCCCCAGCTTCGGGCCAGCACACCACCCAAATCTGAATGAACCAGTGGCAACATTGAGATGGTGGCCCCTGTGCCTTGGCTCCCATCCCTCAGAACCTCCATCCAGTCTCTCCAGGGCTGCTGTCTTGTCACTGGGGCAGGTGGATGGGACAGTTGACTCAGTCTTACTTCTCTGCTTCTGCTCTCTGACCTCCAAAAGCAACAACTGGACAGGGGGACTGACTGAGTTGGGGTGGACGAGGATGGGAGAGGGGGAAAGGGAAACGGATAGAATTTAGAAAGGCTCTGAGCAGGACTGCAGAGCCTACATCATGGTCTGCCTTCACATCTGGGAGCAGGAGAATGTATAAATAGAAGAATAAAGTGAAAGCAGCTTGGTGTAGATCTTAGTCTCATTGTTCCTGGAGGGAGAGAGAAGAGGGGCCAGGGGCCCGAGGTCTGGTTGCCATTTCCAAGGGAACAGACTGGGAAGAGGGACTGGCTTCGTGAGGAATGACATGACTTCGTCCTTCCACCTAAGGAGGCAAGTGTCCTTACCTGAGACCTGTCTGGCTGGAGGAGGCATATCTTCTCCCAGCCTGTCTCAGTCAGAAACTTATGCTGTTCTGGATCGAGTTGGCTTGTGTGCTAAGAACTGGGACCATGCCCACCCCCCCACCCCAGAAGCACATTCAGTTTGTTCTTTCCTTCATTCCCAGGAGTGGGTAGCTGAGTCAGAGCAGCCCAGCCGGTTTGCCAGGCAAGGGCTTTTGGGTGGAGACACCTGAGGAAGCTCTTGGACCGCAGCTGAGCAGGTCTCTCCCGGCCTCAGCCTGGGGGTGAGGGGAGTGGAGGTGGCAGCCGTTTGGCCCTGAGTTTCTCCCAGAGGGTTCTAGCACACACATGGTTAATGATTAATGAGGCCGGTGTGGCGTGGCTGTATCCAGCTGCCACTTCCTGCCCTACTCTGCTGAGTAAACAGGGGCCCTGGCTTTGCTGGGCTGAAACATGTTCCCTAGGGAAGGGCACTGCGTCCCTGAATCACCAGGGAGGGAAAGGGAAGGGCAGGGCTGACATCTTCTGCTCCCAAGATTGAAGCCTCATCCCCACCCCCCATCCCCCACCACAGCCATGCTCACCCCCATGTGTTGACGTCAATGTGGGTCCTGGGGTGCCTATTAGCAATGTTGGCATTTTCCCCAGGGCCCTGGCAGGAGGCTCCCTGGGCTAGCATAGAGGCTGAGGTCAGAAAGAAAGAACAAACAGAGGGGAGACGACCTGACTTTAATGGCACAGCCCTAGGCCCCAGCAATGCAGCAAGAGTCAGCTGTGCGAAGCTGCTCAGAGGTGCGGTGACACAGACAACACTAGGAGATCGCCCTTGTCCCTTCCCATCCCCCAAGCTCATGACTAGGCTCCATGCCCAGCAACTGTGGGCCAGCCCAGTCCTGGTCCCAGGCCCTCATGACACACAGAAGTGCCTGGGGCCAAGCTTCCAGAATCGGTGAATGCAGAAGCAGCAGGAAGAACAGGGTGGCAGTCTAACTCAAATACAGAAACTGCTGGACTTAAACTCCTACTTGGAAAGGAAGTGAAAACTTGTGTCTTTCAACAGCTTGCGGCTGGACGCACAGGTCTGGGAGTAAGTCCTCATTTCTTCTCTACCATCCTGGGCATCCCCGGGGTCTTACATCAAGGTCCCCGGGGTCATGTTTCCTCGGGCCTGGCAAGGACCCCTTGGCAGGTCTCACCTTCAGCCACAGAAGGGAAAGGGGTCACAGGCAGCAAAAATGAGGGCAGCAGCAGAAGCAGCAGGCAGCAGCAGCACAGAGAGGAAGACAGCAGAAGCTTAAGCACTCACAGAGGGGACAAGAAACCGTGCAAGGAGACTGTTTATTTCGAAAGGATTTTGCAATAAACATAGTGAGTGGGGTCCAGGCAGTTCTATTCTTCTCCCTCGTCCTCGTCCTCATAGGAGTCGATGCCCACCTCCTCGTAATCCTTCTCCAGGGCAGCCATATCCTCCCGGGCCTCCGAGAACTCCCCTTCCTCCATGCCCTCACCCACGTACCAGTGCACAAAGGCCCTCTTGGCATACATCAGGTCGAACTTGTGGTCCAGGCGGGCCCAGGCCTCGGCGATGGCGGTCGTGTTGCTCAGCATGCACACGGCGCGCTGCACCTTGGCCAGGTCGCCCCCGGGCACCACCGTGGGGGGCTGGTAGTTGATCCCGACCTTGAAGCCCGTGGGGCACCAGTCCACGAACTGAATACTGCGCTTGGTCTTGATGGCGGCGATGGCGGCGTTGACGTCTTTGGGCACCACGTCGCCCCGGTACAGCAGGCAGCAGGCCATGTACTTGCCGTGGCGGGGGTCACACTTCACCATCTGGTTGGCAGGCTCGAAGCAGGCGTTGGTGATCTCTGCCACCGACAGCTGCTCGTGGTAGGCCTTCTCCGCAGAGATGACCGGCGCGTAGGTGGCCAGGGGGAAGTGGATGCGGGGATAGGGCACCAGGTTGGTCTGGAACTCCGTCAGGTCCACGTTGAGGGCCCCATCGAAGCGCAGGGAGGCCGTGATGGAGGACACGATCTGGCTGATGAGCCGGTTGAGGTTGGTGTAGGTGGGGCGCTCGATGTCCAGGTTGCGGCGGCAGATGTCGTAGATGGCCTCGTTGTCCACCATGAAGGCACAGTCCGAGTGCTCCAGGGTGGTGTGGGTGGTCAGGATGGAGTTGTAGGGCTCCACCACGGCCGTGGACACCTGGGGCGCGGGGTAGATGGAGAACTCCAGCTTGGACTTCTTGCCATAGTCAACCGAGAGCCGCTCCATCAGGAGAGACGTGAAGCCCGAGCCGGTGCCCCCTCCGAAGCTGTGGAAGACCAGGAAGCCTTGGAGTCCCGTGCACTGGTCAGACTGAAAGGCAGGAAAGAGAAAGAGCATGTAGGTATGTCAGGGGCCTGTAGAGCTCTACCTTCTGACTCCACGAATGCCTGAACTCTTTCAGGAGTCAGGGCCGAGACTAGGAAGTATCTCATAGCAGCAGCATAAGACAGTTAAAATTAGAGATGACCCCCCAACATGGGTCCTGGAAAAAAATAATTTCCAGGCCATTAGCATCATCTCAAAAGCCCCCTCCCTTCCATCCCAGATTCTCACCAGCTTGCGGATCCGGTCCAGCACCGGGTCGATGATCTCCTTGCCGATGGTGTAGTGGCCACGGGCGTAGTTGTTCGCAGCGTCCTCCTTCCCGGTGATGAGCTGCTCTGGGTGGAAGAGCTGGCGGTACGGGCCATTTCGGATCTCATCTGGTGGGGCGCAAACACATCGTTAGGGCAAAAACCACAAGGCCATGCTCAGCAGGGATCGCCCTCCCCCAGCACAGTAGCTATAGCCAGATGTGTGGAAAAGCTCATCCTTCTGCTGGCCTGTGATAGCAGTGGGTGAGAAACCCAGACCCACCACCCAGGCTCGCCTGCGATCAGCTGCAAACAGGGCAGAGCTGAGGGCCAGGAAAGCCGGCTCTAGACACCATCCCTGCAGAGGGAAGCTTGGAGTCACGGTTTCAATTCTACCCCATCTTCATCTCACCAATCACCGTGGGCTCCAGATCCACAAACACGGCGCGGGGCACATGCTTCCCAGCGCCAGTTTCACAGAAGAAGGTGGTAAAGGAGTCATCCCCTCCACCGATGGTCTTATCGCTGGGCATCTGCCCGTCAGGCTGGATCCCATGTTCCAGGCAGTAGAGCTCCCAACAGGCATTGCCCATCTGGACACCTGCCTGCCCCACATGGACTGAGATGCATTCGCGCTGAGGGATAAAGAGAGGGGACACAGCATAAGCACCACATCTGCAGTCCTCACCTCACGAGCCTCTCTTCCACCCCACTGCCTACCGGCTAGGGTGATTCTGTTGGCAAAAGTGGAGGCCTGGGCCTGGGCATAGGTCAGAAGAGGCTGGCAGCCTGCCCAGGCTCCCCCACATAGGACTTGACAACTGGAGGCACCGAGTAGGGAAAAATCCCTTAGCTCACTTCTCTGTGGGGACCTTGTCAAGTAAGAACTGTGGCTCCGCATGACCCTGCCACACTCACAGGACACTCAGGGAGGACAGAGAGGGCAAGTGCATATGAAAGACAGGCAGATGCTGCAGAAACAGACAACAGCACACAACTTCTCAGCTGTTTCCAGTTTTCTACTCCCAAAGCCAGCTTCTCCAGCCTGAGAAGGGACAGGTGTTCCAGAGGCATGAGTTTATAGCCAGAAGCCCTCTTTGAAGGTGAACTAGAATTTCTTACAACTCTCTCCCTTTCCTTCCTGTGGGCTGCAGAAAGGTCTCAGCCTTCTGATCTGGCATCAACTGACCCATCAGGATGCCCTCTCCCCCACCTTTAAATCCCATCTGGCTCTGGAGATCAATCCCAGCTGGCTGCTCTCCCCACCTCCACCCCCGCACTCTGGGTATCTTCACCACCTTCATCCACCGCGCAGCCCTCACGGAAATAGCAAAGTGTGCAGATGGCAGGTGCAGGCAATAAGGGTTGTGGGCACTGGGGCACTAGGCGCCTTAGGCTCATCCCTGCCAGTCTGAAATTAACCCGTAAAGAGCCAAAGTGGTGCGGCGCAGGGCTCACGCAGCCTCCCTTCCTAACGCCGAAATGGCGGGGTGACGGTTTCCAAATACCCAGAAAAGGAAGTGGAACCTGGGGTGAGGCCCCAGAGGTAACCCGCCTTGCGGTGCGGAGTGTAAGCGCCATCCTGCACCAGGGCCCTGCATTCGCCCCCTTCTAGATTCTTTCCAGTTACATCCCAGCCGAAAGTGAAGATTGGATTTCGGCCCCCGTTCCTGGGCTATAAATATCACCCCCCTACACACACCTCTTTCCCCTCCCCCCAACCTGGCCTGGGCCCGCACTCTCGCTCAGCGCCAGCTGTCTCTGCCCGTCCGCTCGCTGGGCTCCAGCTGGAGAGGGGCCAGCTCGCCTCACAACGCCGAACCCCATTCCCGCCACCCCTCCCGGCTCAGAATCGGGGTGCTGAGTCACGGGGGGGGCTCTGGGTAGGAGGGATGCACACACAGTCGGAGGAAAGGGGTATGCTGGACCAAGTAATGTGACCCCCTACCACCTTCTTGGGCTAAGCACGTGTTCGGTCAGATCCAGGAAGCGGGGTTAGGGGTGGCGGGAGGTTGGGGCGGAGGGCAGCCCAGCGGGTCTCCCTCATCCGCGGAAAGGACTGGGCGTGGGATCGCGACTCCCCTTTAGGAGGATTAGGGCACAAATGCTTGCTGGAGCAGGAGGCGATTTCCAGAAGGACTCCTCTCAGTTAGTGAAGAATCCCACCCCACTCCATCCCCCTTCCCCAGCCTCCAAAAGTGGACAGCACGTCTCGGCCAAAGTCACGAGAGAGTGGGGGTGGGGGAATGCACAAACCCTCGCGCGTCCTCGAGCCCGGGAACATCGGATGGGGGTCCGGAGCATCCCGGAATGCAGGGTCCCGAAGGAGAAGGGCAATAAGGGGAGAGCCGCGATCCCCGCGGGGCCGCACTCACCATGGTGAGTCCGGGCGGTGGGTCTCACGTAGAGTCCGGGCGACGGGTCTCAGTGAGAACTGCGCTAGCTGCAGTGCCGCACCGCTCTTATAGGCGGAGGGCGGGGCCCGCGCGCTGCGCTCGCCCACTAGGAGCTGAGCGGCCCGGAGGCCACGCCCCCGCACGGTAGGCGGTGCTAAGGGGCGGGGTCAGGGCGGGTCTCCTCCCCCTGCCCTGTCCCTGTCTCTCACCTGTCGCACTTGGGTTAGGTGTAGCGATGCGGGCCTCTGCCCTTCGCTCCAGGTTTTGAGCCGACACCCTGGGTTCCCGATCTCCACGGCAGGGACGCAGGGCGCGGTGCCAGGGCGCATCTCGCCTGCACCTGAATCCCCGGGGCGCCCATCACCCGGGTGTTCTGACTTAGGCCGGGGGCTGTAGAGGCTGTCCTTGCGAAGTGGCTTCAGCGGGCCTTCGCCCGTGCCCCCCTCCCCGCCCTGCCTCCCTGGTGGTTCTGGCCAGTCCCGGGGGAACCCCTTACAGCGGCACACGGCCTGCTGGTCCTCGGCCGGGGAGGCTGGCCTTCGCCAATGCCTGTGGGCGGCCGAGGACAAGGAGCTGCACAGTCTGAGCCCCAGGGTGCCGATCCCTCAGAGTACCCCCACAGAGCCAAGCTCCGCAGCCTGTCTGCAAGGGCCGACCCCAGGAATCTGGCGCGGCTCGCCGGCTGCCCGCGGGTCAGTGGCCCCGTCATCAACGCCGTCACTATTAGCGAGCCCTCGCCACCCACACCTGCCCGCTTCCCTGCCGCCAGAACCGCCAGAGCTCTGGGCGGAAGCCCTCGGGACCTGCGTTCACAGCCGGACTGTTCTATGTGACCTTGGGCAAGTGACCTAACCTCACTGAGTCCTTGGCATATTCATCGGTGAAAAGGAGACGATGATCCTACACTGAAAGCATTGTTGTGAGGTATCAAAATGTGCGTTGACTCTGAAGAGGAAAAAAGAAAGTGGAGATTCTGGTATCATAGGTGATTTTGACTTTCTCATCTTCTCCTGTTTCCCGGGCCGGGCAGGCATCTGCGACCACATCTCAACGCCCTTAGCGCTCAGGCAGAGGCCTCAACATCAATTACCCCTTCTTTCCACATTTCATTTCCATTTCTTGCAAGAATGGGCTTTTCCATCTACTTTTTAAAGAGATTTTATTTATTTATTTATTTGAGAGAGAGAGCGAGAGGAGAGAGAGCACAGAGGAAGAAGAAGCAGACTCCCTGCTGAGCAGGGAGTCCTATATGGGGCTCAGATCCCAGGACTCTGAGACCATGACCGCAGTAGAAGGCAGCTCCTTAACCAACTGAGCCATCCAGGTGCCCCTTATCGATCTTCTGCTTTCCCTTGTATGCCTTACGTTTTCTAGCTCTCTCCCCTCACTGGGGAAATCATCAGGAAGTTCCCCTCGAGCCCATCAGCATATCGTGAAGAAACCTGTCTCCCAGTCTAGTTCCTTGGAAATGATTCACCTGCATCTCCACGATAGCGTTTCCTTGGACCACTAGACTGTCTGACATGACAACACAGTAGGCTAAAATAACTAACAATGGCAACTTCCTGCCAACAAAATAGCTAATTGACCGCTTACCTGAGCAAGGCATGGAAAGGAACACAGTGAAGCATGACAAGGTCTCTCTTCCCTATGCACTTGCTGTATGGTTGGGAGAACAAGACTCATTCATAAACATGGAATGGGGCAAGGTCATATAGTGAAGCTGCTTTGGGAAATAGGGTCATGGTCTCTACAGAGCAAAGACCCTTGGTGATGACAGAGCATACAATCTCTTGCAGACCTTCCCGGGCCCTCCTCTTCCCTTGTGCATCCCTAATCCCTACAGAATGAGTATGGTAAAAGACCTGAGCTCTTTCAGGCAAAACCCTAAACTCCTTTGACCTTCAGGTTCAGGTTCTTCCTTTGTGAAACAGGGATAACTTCAGACTTTAAGGACCTGATGAACTTCGGGGCTGTGTACATACACAGCAAAGTGCCGTGTAAGCATCTGAAATGGGTTCCTGGAGCATATCCTTCCTTCGCTTTAGTGCGCTGGCACACCAGGCTGCAGTTATTTGTGTCCATGCCCATCTTAGAAATTGCAGACTCATTCCAGGTAAGGACTGGATCTTATTCATCTTTGTGTCCCTAGATCCTAGCATAGTGCTTCGCACAGGGTAAGCATTGGCTAAATGTGTGTCAGAAGAATTGTTTCGCTTCTGAGATGGGAATAAAATTAGGGTAGAACTCTAAGAAGCCAGCAGTTGCAAATTGGCAGCCTGGAGGCCAAGTTCCCTCTCAGAATTGTTTTGTTTGACCCTCACAGTGTTCATCCCCATAGCGTTTAGAATATATGAGAAAAAGCAGGAACTGCCTTCGTTCTGGAGCATCCCCAAAACCACCCCCATGTCAGGAGATTTACTAGAAGGACTCAGCATAAAGTTGATAAATAACCCCTTAGCTAAGGTTTATTACTTGTTAAATAAACTATTAAGGTTTATTAGTGATGTAGGAAGGCTGCACAGCTGGATCATACGGGGGAAAGACACGAGCTGAATCTGAAGGAATGTTTGCCCTCTCCCTCCCGGTAGGGCTCCCACAGCATTCTCTTCCTCCAAAATGGAAGAGGAGCAACATTTCCCTGCAGTAGTTCTGCCCAAGGAAGCCTGTTAGAGACTCAGCACCTAAGACTTGTCGTGAGGGCTGGTCACATAGACACCTCTGCCTTGCACGTACCCAAATTCCAGATTCCTAGAAGAAAAGCAGCTGTTCAGCATAAGCCATTATTTTTTTTAAAAAGACTTTTATTTATTTGAGAGAGGAGGGAGGGGCAGAGAGAAGGGGATAGAGAGAGAATCCTAAGCAGACTCCACGTCCAGCACGGAGCCCAATGAGGAGCTCAATCTCACAATCCTGAGATTGTGACCTGAGCTGAAATCGAGTCAGGTGCTTAACCGACTGAGCGGCCCCGGTGCCCCACAGCACAAACCATATTCTTCATACACACAGTCTAGGCACAACAAACCATCCTGGTCCTTTAACTATTGACTGACTGACTGACTGACACTCTAAGAGCCAAGTTCTCAATGCCAGCCAAGGGCATTGAGGTACTCTTACCAGCAGAACTTTCTAAGGAGCAGTCTCAACTGTGTTAACTCTTTCTGCACAGTCATATAAAAACCTAGATTCCTAGCTTATCTTGAAAAGAATTGGAGGATCTGGCTATATCAGGCTTGCATTCCCAATTAGCAACTGTGATAGTCAGAATTAATCGTCCCCCAAAGATGTCCACATTTTAATCCCTGAACCCCGTGACTATGTCACTTTACGTGGCAGAACACTGCAGATGTGACTGAAGTGAAGGTCTTGAGGTGAGCTTATTCTCCATTTTCTGGGTGGGTCCAGTATAACCACAAAGGTCTTTATAAGTAGAGGAGGGCGACAGGAGAGACAGAGTCAGGGAAGGAGAGGTCAGAAGCAGAGGTCAAAGTGATGTGATTATTGGCTTTCAAGGTAGAAAGAAGCCATGAGTCAAGGAATATGGGCAGCCTCTAGAAGGAAGAAAAGGCAAGGAACAGATTCTCCTCTAGAGTCTCTAGAAGGAAGGCAATCTGCCAATGCTTTGAGTTTATTTATACCTTAAATAGGTTCTGATATTAATTCCGGGGGTGGGCTTCCCCATACACCACCAAGCAATGCTCAGGCACTAGCAGGGTGTCTTGGGAATTTAACTCAATTCTGCCACTACCTACCCAGAGATAGCATCAGATTCCCCTGGCTGAGGGTACAGTCCTATACAACTGCCTCTCCAGTACTCCTGTTGTTTCCTGGGCTTCTGATCAACTGGCTATAAATTAGAGGTGCCCATGACTACTTCTTGGGTTTGATTAATTTTCTAGAGTTGCTGACAGAACTCAGAGAGATGTTTCACTTCCTGTATCATTCGTTTATTATAAAAGGATACAAATCAGGAATGGCCCGATGGAAGAGAGACATAGGGCAAGGTGTGGAGAAAGGACAAGGAGTTTCTATGCCTTTTCCATGCATGCCACTCTCCCAGTATTTTCACATGTTCACCAACCTAGAAACTCCAAGCTCCATCCTTTTGGGTTTTTATGGAGGTTCATTACATAGGCATGGTGGATGGAATCACGGACCACTGGTGTTGCTCTAGCCCCTCTCCCCGCTCTTGAGGTGACCTTATTCTACATTTTCTAGGTGGGCACCGCCTCTCTGGAGGTGAGGAAGGGACTGAAAGTTCCAACCCTCTAACACTTGGTTGACTCTACTGGCCACCTGCCCCCAACCCTAGGTGCTTTCCGAATGACACCTCATTAGTGTAAAAAAGATATCTCTCTTTAAAAAAAAAAAAAGATTTTGTTTATTTATTTGATAGACAGAGACACAAGTAGGCAGAGAGGCAGGCAGGGGTCCGGGGGAGCAAGCTCCCTGAAGAGCAGAGAGGGGGGTGGGGCTTGGTGCTCAGTGCTCGATCCCAGGACCCTGAGATCATGGCCTGGGCCGAAGGCAAGGCTTAACCCACTGAGCCACCCAGGCGCCCCAACAAAAGATATCTTTATCACTCTCAACACTTAATGAAATTCCAAGGGTTTTAGCAGCTGTGAGCCAGTTATCCTACACAAAGACCGAATGTGTATGAGGACTATGTTTTGGTCATCTGAATAACCACATAAATATTTTTCTTATAAATCAGAGACTTGTAACCCCAAGACCTATTTTGGACTTCTGATCTCCAGAATTATAAGATAATAAGTTTGTGTTGTTTTAAACTACTAAGCCTGTAGCAATTTGTTAAAACAGCAGTAGGAAACCAGTAGGGCAACAAATGGAGCTGGCTGGTGGCTACCTTCTAAGGCTGGACAGCAAGCTGCTCCAAATCACTCAGTCCACCATTTACCATCATATGCTCAACTGTAACATATTTATGTTACCCTGACCCTTAGCAAGAAGTTTATAACCCCTGGCAGGCAAGATGGAGAAGACAAGGGTAGAGGGAGAAATGTCCAAGACTTGTTAGTAGAATATAGATTCTGCCTCTGCCTCTGTGTGTGTGTACAGTCGTGCATGTGTGCACAT